GTGTACTTCCGTTTCATGAGAAACTATGTGTTCTGTAAGCCTTCACCTGAAGTACATTAAAAAAATAAAATTAAATTAAAAATATGTGTATAAAAATGATAAAATTTATTAAAGAAAATCTTGAAAATAATGAAACAGCACCCTGAATCCCTCCACTCTAATACAATCATGGTTGTCTTTTGAATGTATTTCTTTCAGGTATTTTTCTAGGCTTTCTCATGTGGTCATAGTGTTTGTACAATTATACTTGTTAGTTCATAATTATTGTCCACCACTGCTAAATAGTCTTCTTAAGCTTAATAATTAGTAGTGTACTACATTGCATCATGAGACTATAATTTACTTTTAAGCATATTCCTGCTTTAAGTATTGATGGGGCCCCCAGTTTTTCATAATTATATTTTCTGCAGCAATGAAGATTCTTCTGCCTATAGCCTTTTCCATATTTTGGATTATTACCTTAAAATTGATTTTTAGCTATGAGGTAATTGGATACAGATATATTTATGGTGTTGATATGTATTGCCAAATTTTTCCAGAAGAGTCATGCCATTACACTACTGTTATATTGTTAGCTGCCTTCGAGTCAGCTCCAGCTCACGGTGACCTTACGTATAACAGAACAAAATGTTGCCCGGGTCTACACCATCTTTATGATCATTGATATGTTTGAGTCCATTGTTGCAGCTATACAACACTACTACCTCCAGGGTAGAAAAATAAGAGGCATTTGTGTGTGGCTAACTATATATTTTATACCTGAAAAGTTTTTTATTAATTTCAAGAATAAAAAATGCAGCCTTGGCGGAAGAATGAGACTGTTAGATCTTCTACAGACCTGAGCAAATCCTGTCCCTGATGTCCGCCTCACTCTGTGTGTTTCTGTTTTCAGGAATTGGGATGGGAATGACAGTCCCTGTTTCCTTTGCCGTGTTCCCCAATGAAGATGGCTCCCTACAGAAGAAACTAAAAGTCTGGTTCCGGATTCCGAACCAGTTTCAGAGCAACCCTCCAGTTCCCAGCGATGAAGACATTAAGATTGAGGAGAGGGAAGGCATCACTGTCTATTCCATGTAAGGAGACGATTCTTCAGGTATCCGAGGGTGGGGCTTGATTTCCATAGCCACCTCTTGAATCATCTTCCGTGACCATTTGCCTTGAATTTGTATTGATGATGACTTCATTTAAGTAAGAGATACTGAGTCCTGACGACTTCTCACTTTAATTTCTTCTGGCTTCGGCATACGAATATTTGTATTTTATCTGAAGTTGCCAAATTGCCATGAGTAGAGAGAGCTTAAGCTTAAGCTGAACACCTACATTAAGATGAGCACCTACAGTAGCCATAGCAGAGAATATCTGCTTTAGGGTCATGGACACATGGGAAGCATGGAAGGTTGGGGAGAACTGATTTCTGTCCCAGGCTCCTCTGGAAGGTCAGGAGAGCAGGGAGACCTCTTCAGAGCTGGGCTGCCACCTCTAGCAGTTCATGGCTGGGGTTCATCAAGGAGGGCACACATCCATCCTGCTGTTATTCTCGGGTTTCCAGGACCTCACGTGCGGTCGTGTCCCCTTGACTGTGGAGAATAGCGGGTGCATATGTTGAATGTTTTTATACTTTGGCTCAAAACCACCTCCACTCAAAAACTAAGTCTCTCCTAAATGATTAGTGACTCTCCGTTTATTTGGAGCCCTGGTGGTACAGTGGTTAAGCATTCGGCTGCTAACCAAAGGGTCGGCAGTTCGAATCCACCAGCCACTCCTTGGAAACTCTGTGGGGCAGTTCTCCTCCTTCCTGCAGGGTCGCTATGAGTCAGAATCAATTCGACAGCAATGGGTTTGGTTTCTCCATTTGTTAGCACCCCACTATTTGACAGGCACTGAACCATGTATTGAGGGAGGCCAGGAGCTTCACCAGTAGTGACTGTGAGGTACAGGTTTGGTTCTAATCTAGAGCAACCTTCTAATACACAATAAAACCCTCTAATAACTAGACAAATAATCTTGCACTGGACAAAGTCCTGGTCCACTCCTGGGGCCTCTGAAGTTGATTATTTGTCTGCCCTGCTCCAGCTTTGCACCTAGGGTGAGACAGCTTTCCCTGGAGCTAACACTCATCCTAAAAACGTGAGTTTGGCTGCTCTGGGAGCCCTATACGAGCAGACCGATATGTAGCCAGGTGACCACCGGGGCCCCCAGAGGACAGTGAGTGAAATGCACTGGGCAGCTGGCACTGGGCCTCCAACCCTGTGCTGCTTTCTCCAGCCCGGATTCAGACTCTCCAGCCTTCAGGACAGGGACTGAGGTGGAGCAAGGGACTAGGGTGCAAAATTTAAGGAAGCTCTTGCTTCATGCTCATCCAGGTACACTCAGGTTAGCGACGGAGAGTGAGTGCCTCCTTAAATTTTGCTCCCTAGGCAAAATTTGTCTTTTCCGTTCCCTTTTCTGTGTCTTGGGAAGGAACCTGGTATAATATGATGAACAAATATTTTATAGTTTGAATCCCAGCTCTACTGCTGACTAGCAGGATGTTGCTGGGGGATTTAGTCAGCCTCTCTAAAACAGTTTCCCCATCTGTTAAGTGCTGACAATAAAACATACTTCACAGGGTTATTGTTAGAGTGCCTTTCAGTATTTACGAAGATACTATTTATAAATTGGAAACCCTGGTGGCATAGTGGTTGAGACCAAAAGGTCGGCAGTTCAAATCCACCAGCCGCTCCTTGGAAACCCCCAGGGGCAGTTCTCCTCTGTCCTGTAGGGTTGCTGCGAGTCGGGATCAACTCGCCGGCAGTGGGTATTCATAAATTACCCAGTGTTCATGACCTGGAGTAGGTTTCGTTAATTATTCTTTCCCGTCGCCCGTTGTTATTTCATAAGGAGTTATGTTGGCCGATTCAGTCAGTCCGCATACAGCTTAAACCACATGGGGCTAATTTCTAATCATTTATTTTACTGTTGTTGTTGTATGCCCTTGAGTCAGTTCCAGCTCTTAGCGACCCTATAGGACAGAGGAGAACTGCCCCATGGCGTTTCCTAGGCTGAAATCTTCGCGGGAGCAGATCACTAGGTCTTTTCTCCCATGGAGCAGCTAGTGGGCTCGAACTGCTGACCTTTCCGTTAGCAGCCAAACGCTTAATCATTGTGCCACCAGGGCTCCTTATTTATTTTACTAGATCCAGGCTAACAAGTTGGTACAATTTTTTCTTTTTCTTTTGTCTGTAACTTTGTGTGTGTCTGTGTGTATGTAACTTTTATTGTGGAAATTTTCAAACTTATAAAAAGGTAGGGTTAATAAGATAATAAATCACTATGTACCCATCTCTCACCTTCAACAATGATCAACTCAAGGCCAATTTTGTGTCATCTATACCCTGACTGCTTCCATCCAGCCCCAGCTCTGGATTATTTATAGGCAAATCCCAGACATTATATTATTTCATTCATAAATATTTTAGTGTGATTACTGAAGACATTTAAAAAATATAACCACAATTATTACTCCTAAAATATTAGCAATAATTGATTAATATTGTAAAATATCCAATGTTCAGATTTCCCCCATTATCTCATAATTTATTTTTATGGTTGGTTTGATTCTGGCTCCAAATAGGTTCATCGATTGTAACTGGATGCTGTTAGGGCTTTGTTAAGCCATAGCTTTCCTCACCTCCACCGCTTTTCATTTTTTTCTTGCCATTTGTAGCTCGTTTGTCCTGTTGTTTCCCACAGTCGGGACTTAGCTGATTGCACCTGCCTGGCAGTTTAACATAGTCCTCTGCCCCCTGTATTGCCTCTAAATGTAGTAGTTAGAACTATAGGCCTCACTAGATTCAGGTTTGCATTTTTGGCGAGCCTATTTCCTCGGTGGTGGTGTGAACTTCCATTAAGACCTTCTGCTGTCTGGTCTCCTGTTCTTGTGGTGTCAGTGCCCATGGATGGTCATTGCCTAACTGCCTTGTTTCATTAGGGGTTGTAAAATGGTGACGTTCTCTAATTTTCTCCCCGTCTTGACCTTGGGTTCCCCACTACTAGCTTTCCTGCCCCCTCCTGCCTTCTCGTCCTTGCCCCTGGGCTGGTGTGCCCACTTAGTCTCATTTTGGTTTATGGGCCTGTCAGATCTTTGGCTGAAGGGTGACCCTTGGGAGTGACTTCATTACTGCACTAAAAGGGCGTCCGGGGGCCATACTCTTGGGGTTTCTCCAGTCTATGTCAGACTAGTAAGTCTGGTTATTTTGTTTGTTCTGTTTTATTATTTTTTTTGTGAGTTAGAATTTTGTTCTACATTTTTCTCCAGTTCTGTCCAGGACCCTCTATTGGGATCCCTGTCAGAGCAGTCAGGGGTGGTAGCTGGGCATCATCTAGTTGTGCTGGACTCAGTCTGGTAGAAGCTGTGGTAGTTGTGGTCCACTAGCTCTTTGGACTAATCTTTCCCTTGTGTCTTTGGTTTTCTTCATTCTCCCTTGCTCCGGATGGGGTGAGACCAGTGGAGTATCTTAGATGGCCGCTCACAAGCTTTTAAGACCCCAGACGCTACTCACCAAGGTAGAATGTAGACCATTGTCTTTACAAACTATGTTATGCCAGTTGAGCTAGATGTTCCCCAAGACCATGGTCCCCACAGCCCTCAGCCCAGTAATTTGGTCCCTTGGAGTTTGGATGTGTCTATGGAGCTTCCATGACCTTGGCAAGGCTATAAATCTTTATAAAACAGACCGCCACATCTTTCTCCCACAGACCGTCTGGTGGGTCTGAACCGTCGACCTTATGGTTAGCAGCAGAGCGCTTTAACCACTGCACCACCAGGGCTCCTTAACTACTTGATACTTTCTCTTTATTTACCAATTTTCAGAATAATGATTCTGTTCACTATCATCCTGCAAAGGTGGTCTTCATTTCTGATTTTCGAGTATCATTATAAATATATGGATTTAAACATATTTGATGCGCCTCAGTCTTGGGCAGTTATTGTTCGTATTGATGCTCAGATGTCCCTTCTTTGGCCAGTGGGAGCCTCTTCAAGCTGGTTTCTTAGTCCTTTTGATACAACTCTGGTAGTCTTTAGTGCCTTCCTTGCTTTCTGGTATGACAAGATGTTTCAGGCACATCTTGATATGTCTTGCCCGAGAGCTGGAATTAGCCATTTCTCTAAGAACCCTGGTTCCTTATGGCAGGAAAGGGTATCTAGAATAAGTGATACTATTAAAGCCAGGTCTCTGTGGCAGTTTCCTTTTAATTCTCTGAAATCTGAACAGATGAAGGTACCTAGTACATTGTCTGACCTGGCTACATAAATGTTGTTTTCAACCAACAACATATGGCCCAGCTTAGCATAGGATCATTCCACATCTGGCCACTGGGTGTCACTACACAGTCAGATATGCACGTATAAGCGCCCTACAGGACTTTGTGTTGGTTCCGATTCTGTTGAAGGCAGAGCCAATGAGATGGTAGAAGAGAAAAGTGCTATTTCAAATACACAGTGAGTGCATTAGATGACAAAATGAATTCTAAAATGAAAGCCTTGCATCCTTAGTTTAGTCTTCCTTTTGTATGACTTTGGGAAGGGATGTCCACAACGGAATGTTAATTACCAGGGCTTTTTAGATGGATAGAGTGATGTGAGTAAAATAACAATTCCTTCTCCATGCAAAACACTATCAGAATATTTTTATTATTCACAAGAGACAGTAGAATTTATCTTCACACTTAGTCCAGTGGCCACATTCCACACCATTGCCTTCCCTCTTGTTCTATAACATCGGCTTAAGTTAGAGCTCAGCTTCCTGGGCTCACTTCAATCCTGGGTTCTCAGCAGAAATCAACAAAAGAAGGCTCACAGTAGGGTTTGAATCGAGGCCCAAGCTAGCAATAAAACACTGCATTCCCTTGAGGAGGGTGGTGAGTAAACTCTGGGTCCCCGAATGTTTAACCAGGCTGTAAAGCCTAAGAGGGAGGCCTCATTGTGGAGTTACTGCCCTCCACAGCAAAGCCTCACTCCAACTGTCCACTGACCTCAGAACATCTCACCACCCCCATGTGGGCCAACATACGCTTCCCTACCCTCGCTCAC